TGTTACAAGACCAGTCCACACCAACAGATCTTCCAACCCTAGCAGATCAGCACAATGGAAAACAAAATAAGCAGCAGACATTGGGTTATTTTTTTTAAACATATCTGCAGCCATATTTTGTATTCCACTCAGCAGTTAAATATTTATTAACAAGTGTATGACAAGAGCTAATTTTCAGGAAGTGTGTTTTCAGTTTCCAACTTCTCAATGAAGAGCAAAAAAAAAAAAAAAAGAAAGATGCATTAGGTGATCAAGTAGTACAGGAGCACAGCAGTAAAACAAGCATCAGAAGTAACTGTGGCTCTTCCTTGTTATACCAGCAGCTTCCAAATGATCCAGGCAACTTCTTATCTAGCCAGCCTGCCTAAAGGGAACTTCAGCATTTAAGCTTAACCTCTGTATGTCATGACAATCCTACAAAACATCTGCTTTAGAACAGGCTGGTCATGATAACTGAGTTATCCCTCATGTGCAAAGATGTCCTTTCAGCTGGAGCTGGGGCACAATGAAATGGTAATCAAGGCAGTCTCGTGGAGATCCCACATGTGCAGCACTTATTCTCTGAACAGATGTCATCATTACCTAAAAATCCAAACTAGCTCACGCAGTAATATCAACTCGGGGATTAAAATCCACTCTTCAGAAAATCTATTTGAGTAACAAAGCATGGAACAACTGCAAATATAAAAACATGTTTGGTTGGAACAAAGCAGAGGCTATTATTTTAAGACGCTGCATCAGTGATCTGTCTATACCATCTTAGGATTTCCACAGTTTGATTGTTTTCTAAGTGATTAACCACCCATTTAGATAATCCACCTCTTTATGGGAATGGTTTTATAAAAGCTTCTCCCACTTTCATGCTGAAATATGAATTTAAAAAATGTCTTCATCATACAAATGCAATGCTATCCTACAGAGAACAACATGGAAAGGAGCAAAGATTTCAGTTTCTCTTGAATTAGACTACAATATAAGGTTTTGTTCTTTCCCCTTGGGGTTTGAAAAGAACTCATTATTTTAGCATTAGAAAGAATGAACTTTAAAATCTGTGTTTACTGATGGCCAACAGATAACACTTACACTTATAAAAAGTTATGATTAAAATATTTCTTGTGGCTCTTTGGTAATTACTCAAGTAGTAGATTCCTAACCCCAGCTACAAAGCTGACAGGGTCTTTTTGTTGTTGTTGCTCTGGTGCAACTGGATGACAAAAAGAGTTCTGTCTCTTTAGAAGAAAGAAAAAACTTGCAAACTTTCAGAAGTTTCAATAGTTTAAACAGTGTGAAACCTTTCTAGTCAATCTGCTACCTACTACCATGTACTTACTATTTTTTCCTCTGAGGAACAGAGGAAAATCTGTCTGAAAACAGATTTGAGTAAAATTTAGTTTTACTATTTAAAAATAAGTCACACTGAAGTCTGCTCACAAAATCATTCCTGGGCTCCTGATTTTTTGAGGTCTGCCTTTGTATTTTGTTGGGTTTTCCAAAGACTTGCCAAAATCCTAAGGCGTCTTAATTTGTGAAAATACCTGCTCTGATACTTTACCTGAAAATTGTCCCATAATTGCATCTAACTGGATCCCAAGTCTAATCTGAAAAGAATTATATCTGGAGAGAGTCGTAACTAGGAGAGAATATGCATCTATCTACCTAGAGAGCTGAATAAACTGTACTTCTACTGGAAGAAAAACAAGTGAGAAAAAAAGAAAACAACAGCAGGTAATTCCATCATCTAATTTATTATTTCAGAAAACTTACTAATTGTGATTAAGGAACAGTAAATTCACAATTCTGTGGTGCCTTCACAGAACTAGATACAGACGCACATACACATAAACATGCAAACAACTATTTCTTTTTTGTCACATTCTTAATGAAAAGGTGGTTTAGTTCTTATCACTGATCTGAGCTACAGCAAGAATTACCTCAGACTGAGAGGCCATGAAACAGATCCAACTTCTGTTAATCTGGTTAATTTCCCTAGTGTTTCAGTTCATACAAGAGTTTTAGTTCTGTCTCATTTAGAATAAAGAAAATAATTTGCTTATCCAAAAATGACCTTACAGTCTCTAGGGTAGGTGCAGCTTGTTTTGAATTATGTTCACTTTAAATCGAGCTAAGAGACTTCATGCTGCAGAGCCCTAACAGCACAGAGCTTGACATTGTCTGCAAAAGCCTACTGAGGCTCCAACCCACATGCAACATTAGGTTAAAAATCAAACAGCTGAAAGGATGGGATCATCCTGTTTGCCTTAATATAGTGGGCTCAGAATTGAAGTTCAGGAGCTGCTTGAAGAGCTCTTCAGTCATCCACGATGCACGGACAATAGCAGCTGTAATAAGAACCACATAACAGCCACTTCAACCGTTCAATTTCAATCCACTGTTCCATATGAATCACAGCCTTGGGTGAGCAGATGTACAGAAACCAACGCAGCTTTAAAGTAGCACCAGGAGAACTGTGTATGCAAGCTACAACTACAATAAAGTCATACAGTCAAAGACTGTAATGGAGCACATCACTCGCCACATTCTGCCCATCTGCATTTCTTCATGCAAATTAATACAGATGAATTTGGGAGAGTTGCAGGTCTTCTGCAGTACCTATCAGCAGCGTGTATCTGTATCGTTTCCCGTTAAGTAAAACTTTCCTATACTGACAGATAATCAAAAAAACACAACCCAAGTCCAGAATCAATTTAAGTAGCAGACATTAAATAGAGCACACAAAATAGTTGCAAAAAAGAAACATATCAAATAACGCAAGCACTAGAAGCACCCAGTATTCTCTTCTGCTCTGATTTCTTACTATCAAATCTAACATTAAAACTTTGAAAATACACACAATCCACAGAAATGGTTCAAAAAAAAAAAAAAGAAACGCTGTATATTTATCTTCTGTATTTAAACTGCCCTCATTTGGTTCTATTTGGAAGGGCATTACCACATTAGTACAGTCTGAGTGTATCTCCCAAATTATAAAAGCATTTTACTGTATTCTTACCCTGAAAGTCACCAGTGATGGGAGAACGCACGTTTAACTCTATGAATGCTGTCATCAGTACTAGCAAATAGAGAGTGGCTGTACCTATTCCACATAGTTAAGACCAGGGGGCAGCAATACTGTCAAACACAAAACAGGTTGATTTCTCACAAGTCTACAAAAGCAACTACGGCCTAGTTACAGAAAAAAAGCAGTTACAGGTACGGAAAAAAAGTTGCAGAAGTTAGTCAAAGTTATGTAATTTTTAAAAAATAAGATATATGATTTTAAATGCAATCTCACAGTCATTCTATTACCTAGTCAGTTTCTGTAAACAACAGCACTAGGGAAATTTTAAACATGGAAACTTTCTACCAAGCCAATATTAAGCCATTTTAGTCCTATGGTATCCGATTTCCCATACCCAGGACCACCAGAATGCCATGATCGATATTCTTTCCTTGCATGCCAAATACTTTGTTCCTACCAACACATTCAGCAAAACTAAAAAGAATCTGAAATCCATCTCCAAGACAGGCACTGGCTCCTCGAATATCGACAGATACTTGTCAAACTGAGAGCGTAATCCAAAACAAGAACACATTGTGGTTTATGAAGCAACAGCAAAAAACTGTCTTCTTCCAGTGTCGTTAGGCTAGAAACCTTCAACTGAGTGCAGGGTAAGAGATGAGCTACACTTAAAAAAAATAATAAAAAAATAAAAAAAAAGGTCCTTTGGAAGACATTTCCTCTTAGCTCCTGACCTAGTCCCTAAGAAATCTCATTGAAACCTCAAATAGGAAGCAATAGCCTGATACCCCATAGAAAGCAGCTCTCTAACTTTGCCTGATGTAATACATACGTTCCCTGATAGTGAAGCCGGATGGACATTTAAATGACACTAATAATAAGCAAAGAAAGACAACACCGAGGCTTCAAGGTTGAGACGATGAGACAATCTGACCACTTCTACTGCCTTATTTTGCTCTCCTTCCACCACTTACTTTGCTTTCCTCTCTCCAAATTTACCCCTCCATCCTCCACCTCAGCCCTCAAAGTCCCCCTCCAGGTTTCTGTGGTCGGATTTCTGCATTGCCTTGATCTAACGACACGGGGAAACCTCTCAGGCTCCCAAACCAAACTCAACCTCCAGAACACCCAACACCCACACTTTTTTTTTTTTTCCCTGCTGCAGCAGCCACCAGGAGCCCGAAGAAGTACGATGCTGGCCCCCAAGTGCCAGCAGCCGCTCCGTGCGCTGGTCTGGAGGATGTGAGGGCAGGAAAGCTTTCTGCAACTGGCTCCACACAAGCGCAAAGTCCCACGACTCCAGGAGCAGAGGAGCTTACGTGCATACCGATGCCTCCAGCTCCCGTGGATTTGGGCTGCAAGCGCTGCCCCGTCCTGACGCTCCTTAGGGAAGCTAAAACATTAAACGAGTAAATAAATAAATAAAGTAAGGGGGGAGAGCAGCGAGGCTCGGTTACCTCTTCCAGCAGCGTGACCGTGTTCCTGCAGTTCTGCAAGCGGGTGGTGAAGCTGGAGGTGGTCGGGGAGTTGTAATCCTCGGTGGTCTCGGCGATGAACTCCGACACGGTGATCTGGTCCGGCATGATCCTGGGGAGCCACACCGAGCCAAGTTTTTTTTGTTTTTTTTTTTGGGGGGGGGAGGGAAAAAGGAGGGTAAACGGGGGAAAAAAAAAAAAAAAAAAAAAGCAGAGGGAAGATGTTAAGAGGCGGCAGAGCCCCGCAGCATCAAGGCGGCTGAGTCGCAGGGAGAGGCTGAGCCTCCTCGCCCCCCACACCACCCTCCTCCTCCTCCTCCTCCTCTTCTTCCTCCTCCTCCTCCTCTTCCTCCTCCCGGGCAGGAGGCGAAGGGGGGCGAGGCCCCGCCGGTGGGGAGCAGCTCCCCTCGGCTGCCTGCGGGGCCGGGGCCGCCTCTGAGGAGCGGGAGGAGGAGGAGGAGGAGAAGGGAGGAGGAGGAGGAGGAGGGAGGGGAGGAAGGCGGGAGGGCAGCAACACCCGCCGCGCTCAGCCCCTTTTCCCTCCTCCCTCCGCCCCTCGCTTGTCCCCGAGCTGAGCTTGGGGCTCGGGCGGGAGGAGGAGGAGGAGGAAGAGGAGAAGAAGGGACAGGGACAGGGGTATGGCGACGGGGGCTGGCGACAAGAGGAGGGGGGGGGCTCCGCCGCCGCTGACAGTCACCGGGGAGCCGCACGCGCTGCCCTGCGCCCGCCCGCACCCGTTACGTGGGCCAAGGAGGAAGTGCTCGGCGCAGGCGCGCCCGCCCGCCTCGCCCCCTGCCGGGCGGGGAGGTGGAGGGAGAGGGGGGGGGGGCGAGGTTGGTTTAAAATTAAAATGTTTTTTACATTTCAAATCGAGATGTTGCTAACGTCGGCGTTGAACGAAAAGGCGGTGTGTGTGGGGGGGGAGGGGGGTCGGGGGGGAGCAGGCGCGCGAGCGGTGGGTTTCTGAGTGCAAGGAAATAGTGTGAAAATGTGAACTGTGTAACTAATGGGGGGGGGGTCAATGGCAAATAAATGCTAACTATAAAAAGATAAACCATATAACTAATAGAGGGAAATTAATGACTTAATATGATCGATCGGTAATGATTTTTAATTAATAAGATCGATAATGAATGACTTAATTAATAATAATAATAACAACTGCTGGTGGACTGCTGAGGGCTGACCGGCTCTGACATCCCGCTCCCCAGCCCGGTACCAGGCTTGGTTCCTGCATCCCGGCACCAGCGGAGATAAATCCCAGGGGTGACAGCGGGTTTTGGTTTGTTTTATTTTCCCCTCAGTCCATCGCAGGCAGTTAAAGCCCCGGTTGGCACTCACAAGCCCTTGTACTCTGGGTGCTTTATGATACAAAGCATGAAGACACCAACTATCGTCCTGCAACTGCACTACTGATAATGTCATTGCCGTAAGCAACCTGTGCTGATTTTTCCCCTCCTTACACCCAGGTACTTTTTAAGGGCTCTGCTCTGGCTCAGCACCACTCTGGAAGCCTCCAGCACCGAGCTGCTCTCCCAGTCCCACTTCTGACTGACTCAATGGCTGGGGCTCGATGGCTCCGACCCCAGTGGCAGCAGCACCAGCACCAGCCTGAAGCCCCCATCCCAGCCCCAGTATCTTCCCTTTGTGCTGCTCATCAAGTCTGCACCCTTTCAAAAGCACTATTTCTTCATAAGTCAAACTGTTAAAATGTCCTTTTTTTCATTACTGCATCATGGAACTCTGGGAATGGATGGACAGTGATAAGGAGGTTTTATTTTTCCTTTTTTTTTTTTTTTTTTTTTCTTAAAGCTCAGATTCAGGGCCCCATATGTGCCTTTATAAAGAAGTCTGGGTCTCAGGAGACTCAAGTAATTATGGTCATCTGCTGTTTCAGCCTGATTTATTTAATCAGAGTATGTGTTTTCCTTCTCTTTGTATTTGTGGGATGCTCTCCACAAAAGCCAGGAAATTCAGGACTGGTAAATGCCCTGACATCTGAATAATTGAAAATGAGCAATATGATACAGATACGTCCAATTCCAGGGTTTTAGCATTCTGTACGTCAGCACCTGCTCCTGCACTACAGCACACTTAGGCTGGTACATGGTTTTCAATGTAATTCTAACAAAACACTCAGAAACAGCTTAAAATACCAACAAGAGGCTGCAACGCCTGAGTAAGCATTAAAAGGAGATACCTGCTTGGTTTATACCCATAAAAAATGATGTCACCAGTACGATTTGCAAGCAGCTCTGCCAGCAAAAATATGACCAATGCTCCAGAGACATGGGCCTGGCTGTGGTTTCTGTGCCACAGCAGAAGCCCTGCATGGCCATGGGGTTGCTTTTGGGGCTCACTATGGCACCAGTGGCTGTGGGATGTCACAGGGCTATAAGAGGTAGGGTGGGCAAGGGGAGGAGGACACCAAGAAAAGAAGTGCGTGGGAGTTGCACTGGAAAAAAAATGGAGCGGGCGGAAAAACAGAAAAAAAAAAAAAAAAGATTGAGAAAGCGAACGGAGTAGGTAGGAAGAAAATCAATTGAGGATCGTGTTTGTAAAATTAGTGGAGGAGGAAGAGAGAGCAAGGAGATAAAAATGGATGACAAGATGAGGAGCAATCTGGAAAGGAGAGTGGAAAAGAATGGTTGGGGGGTTTGGGCCAGGAAAGGGTTGTTAGAAGAAGTGAAAAGAGCTATTCCAGCATGCTCAGCATGTCTGGATACTGGATAGGTGATGGATATGTCCCTGGGGCCAAACAGGGCCTCTGTGGTCACCCTGGGTGACCCATGGCACCCTGTGGGCCATGGCCTATCACGCAGCTCTCCTTGCCTCAGGCCCAGTGCCCAGGGCTACTGCAGCCAGGGACCTGGGCCTGCCCTGACAGATTTCACATGAGGGTAAATCCATGACAGCATTTACCCGGGTTTGGTGAGCTGAGTGCTCCCACTGCAATGTGTTGCTTGGTTCTTCCTCGGGTTGATATTACTGGGCTTATGCACTGGTCTTTGGATGGTCTTTGCTCTCCTAGGCAGACTTTTCCCCGTAGAGTGTGTACAGATTTCAGGAGGGATGGGTTCTTTAATCCTACTGAGAGAAATTTAAACCTTGGAGCTGAAGAGCATTGAAGAGGAAAGGAGACAGGCCGGGGGAACTGGAGCAGCAAAGAGTGGCAGGAATGAAGGCATAGCTGGGCAGCTTATGTGTTTCCTCATCAGGCAAAAAAAAAAGATCATCTGACATAAAATATTAAATATATAAAAAGCAGAATACAGAAGAATACCAGGAAATAAGGACAAAAGCACAAGGCCTAGAGATGAAAAAGTTGTCACCAATGATAATTGCCTGTTAGTCTGCTTTTTCAACAGTTCTGAAATTGTTCGCTTTATTCTTTATAAAGAATGTGGTGCTCAGTTCTGCTGCTTTGAAGCAGCAGTTGATATTTCCCCATATAAATGCTTGTATAGAAAATAACCCTATGGGCATGACCTCTTTAGGTTTAGATTATCTCCCTGCTTAAACTCAGTAGAAGCAGGATTAACTAATTAGTAGCATGTTAATAAAAAATAAATGACACAATTTGCCTATCAAAATGTGCTTATATTTAACCTAGTCAAATTATATAACTGTTTCAGATATCTTTCGGTGGATTTCAGATTTAACCATGTTTCCTGTTTTGAATGCGATCAGCATCTGAGATTCACTTCTAAATGTGTAAGATGCACCTCTCTATAAATTGTCACTAACTGAAATCACTGTTTCACTTCACAAATGCCAAAGAATAATCAGCAGAGTGTGAAAGTTATATTTCACGGCGTCTGCTCTAACGATGTCTGCGTCTGGGCTCCGGGGGCAGGCTCTGCTGCAGCCTTGTATCGTGCGAGGCTTGCCAGCAGCAGCCACACTTATCTCACTCCTCTCAGTTGCCTGAAGGGAGAGGCATCGCTGTGTCCATCCTCGGACATGGTAGCATGGGTGAGAAGGGTGCAAGCAGCCCTGGAAACACAGCTCTTTGCTGGATGATACATCACAGTCAAGGAAGTTGTGCTGTTCTGCCATCCCACCCACTGATTCAGTTTGCAAATCCGTTTGATTCCTTTGGCCTTTCTTACCATGACTGCCAACAGGAGAGTTAATTACAGCTATAAATGCATGTTAGCATGTTGATAATATTTCTGCAGGATTTGTGATACCACACAAATACTGCTTAGGGAGAGGCTGAACAACATAGCAACACCAGCAGAAATTACTAACGCAGGTGTTTTGCAATCAGCTGAGTAGCAACTGTGGCATTTTTCATTTTATAGTACTCCAGTCATCGTGTATTTAGATTGAGATCAACAGCTCATTCACAAGAGCCAAGCAGTAGTCATCAGGTGATGATGACTTATCATTGCAAACTTTCAAACACCGCGGATATGGGCCAGGGGTGAGCAGCTACACTGCGCTTGCACAGCTCCTCATGGCATCAGCCCCATTAACTGCTGAAACCACACAGTGGTGTGAGAGAGAACAGGAGGATTATCTTTCTACTAGATAGAGGAGGTTGTGGCTCCCCTGAAAGCAAGCAGGATGTATTTTTGGCCGTGTAGCCATGCAAAGTCAGCTCTTCAGCACTGCCGTGCTGCAGCGCGTGGCAGGGCTCTGCTGGGTGTGATCATGCAGAGAGCAGCCCCAGGACCACCCCAAGGCCACCTGCTGCCTGCTGCAGGGAAAACAAGCTGGCAAACACACCTCAGGTGTGGCAGCCTCCGGGTTTTGGGAAATGAGCTTGACCTGGGTCCCTGGCTGGGTGCCAAAACCTCTGCCGAGCATGCTCAGACAAGCTGCCACCTGCATCATGTGCAACCTGCCAGCGTGACTGTGAGAAGGAAAATGCTGTGTGCGTGGCTGCTATGTGGATGGCTCTCCTTCCCCAGTACGGACACAGTCATGCCAGGATCTCACATGTCAAATCTGCTCTTTTTATTTTCTTTCCCCAAAAGATTATGCTACTTTGTGCCTACATTCATTTCTTTACTTGTGAGTTTCCCATCTTGGCTATTACTGCTAACAAAATTAATGTAGATCAGGCATTAATGTTAAATGAAAACATCAGATCATTGCAATGTGTATGTCTTTGTTAGTAAACTATGTCGTTGTTCTTGTTATGCTCCTTAGCATCTTCATGAACACAGAGAGTATCAGAATAGCAACAGAAGTACTAGAGTGCTAAAACCCATCAGGAAAATATCCTTAGGCTATATTACTATACTACGCTGATATTCTGGACAAATCTGTGCTTTGGTGTTATATTCATGCATTTCAGCTAAACACAGCAGTCAGTATTACTTCCCATCTTCTTAGCTCCCCTGACTCCCTCTATAGGAGCACTGTGTAAACCAAGGCCACCATGGTGTCCCAACACCCAAGTGAATCGTCTCATAGAATCACAGAATGGTTTGGGTTGGAAGGGACCTTAAAGATCACCCAGTTCCAACCCCCCTGCTATGGACAGGGACACCTCCCACCAGACCAGGCTGCCCAAAGCCCCATCCAGCCTGGCCTTGAACACCTCCAGGGATGGGGCAACCACAGCATCTCTGAGCAGCCTGTGCCAGGGCCTCACCAGCCTCTGAGTGAAGAATTACCTCCTAATCTCCAATCTAAATATCCCCTCTTTTAGTTTAAAACCGTTCCCACTTGTCCTATCATTATCTGGCTGAGCAAAATGTTGCTCTCCATCTTTTTTATGAGCCCCCTTTAAGTACTGAAAAGCTGCAAGAAGGTTACCCTAGAGCCTTCTTTTCTCCAGGCTTAACAGCCCCAGCTCTCTCAGGCTCTCTCCATAGGAGAGGTGCTCCAGCCATCTGATCATCTTCATGGCCTTTCTCTGGACTAGTTCTAACAGCTCTACATCCTTCTTGTGCTGGGGGTCCCAGACCTGGACGCAGCACTCCAAGTGGGCTCTCACAAGGCCAGAGCAGGACAGTCCCCTGAAAGACACCACTTGTCACCAACCTCCACCTGGACATAGAGCTATTGACCACCACTCTCTGTGTGAGGCCTTCAGGCCAATTCTTATCCACTTGCATTTGGTCAGTTGGATTGAGCCTCCCTGAGAGAACATGTAAGCCAATTGCTGTTGTTACATTTTTGTAAGTTTATTCTCAGATAACTTCTGATAAAATTAATTGGAAATGCTCTTTTAAATGTATGGCCATAAGTATTAAAGCATCCACAAATATTTCTGATTCAACTCGTCTTTGAGTTGAGTGTTGGGTTTAGGGGATAAAAGGAGCTTCAAATCAACGAGAATCTTAGCAGGGTGGGTTTGGCAGCTCGTTTTGGAATATCTCCTGCATTAAAACTCAGGAATCATTTTTTGTTAATGGAACTCCCATAGCTTTGTTATAAAAAATAAACCCACCCCATTTACGTAAGAGCATGTAACACCACCCCTTGGTACTTCAGCTGGAAACATTCAGTCAGGAGGAGGTTCACCTCCAGAAACAGCGTCCTCTCAGAGAACGGTTCCCATCGGCTAACTGAACCTTGTATGAAGGGTAGCAACCGCATTTTTAACCTGCAGCATGTTTGCACTTTTAATATCACATAAGTGCATGATGTACTCACAGGAAAAGGCAAAGTCTATTTTAGACAGCAAAGCCTACATCACACATTGTGACTGGTGCTAATTTGCTTGAAGGGAACTTGCATGGTAAACTGCAAGTGGTTTTACTTGAGAAAGAAGGCTGTTGAATTTGACATTTGCAAACAAATCTTTAAAATTATTATATTATTGGGACAGAATAGTCAGGTAACTTTCCGGTCAAGGAAAACCATTCATATCTAAATAATTTCTGTGCATGCAGAAAAGCAGACTCCAGATCCAGCAAACATGCTGATTGCATTTCTGTATTTTTAAGCTACAGTGTCCTTTAATTTGGCTCATGAAATACATGAGCTGCATCAACAATTACTGTTGTTGCTGTGACTGTTTTGAATACAAGAATCAGCTGATTTCAATTTTAATACTGGCATTTCCAAGCATTTGTCTTCATTTGATATTTAAAAGTAGGTAAGAAAACATAAGCAACTGTCTTAGAAACTACAGTATTCATTTAAAAGTATGTTAGCATGAGCCCTGGTGGCTTAAACAAAAGGTTCATTCTGCATTCTTTCAATATTAATATGATAGCAAAAAGAGAACCCATTGTGTTCTCATTATATGTGACATTTTGGTTACATTTGTGTTTTTAACACTATATGTGCCAAATGAAAAATGCAAATATATAACTGAATGATATATTTTGCATCTTTTTTGCATCAGTATTTGCATGTTACTTGAATGTCCTGTGCAAGGAGCTGAACTGAATGAGAGGTAAGCCCAAACAGCTATCTCAAAGGCCAGCTGAAAATAACAGCACTGAAAACTGCGCATAGCATTGAGTTACGCAAGAGTAAACCAACTAATTTGCTGATTCAGTTTTGCCTTTGTTGTTTTGGTTTTGTCATGCAAGATC